TATGCAAATGCAATACGGGTAGTAATAAATTGGCGTGGATGCAACACAAAACTTGATACAGAATCTTGCCCACATAGTCGATGGTGACATTTTGGGACATTCATACTCTTTTGTGCTGTTATTCACCCTAAAAATGACACCATGAGCCACCAGTTGCTTAATGTACCATTTACTTTGTCAAAACTCATTGTGACTTTGATCCATATAATGGACCGCGAGGGACTAGCAAGATTAGTCTTCCTCAATGTTGCAGCGATAAACGCACTCGAGCAAGCTATGGAACAGTGACGAGCTGTAAAACGATTACGCGCGGAAAATGCGAAACAGTAGAGTGAAGGTTGTGTCCGCATCATCCTAGTTTGAACAGCCCTGCCTCAAATATTCCGGGTAGTCTACACGAGTTCGTGAGGGAGCCTTGAACTCAAGCTTCACTTCTGCCGCAGCTCATCAGTAGCGCACGTGTGGTAATAACAATGGCGTATAATACTAATGTATGATGATTGAAATGCGGGGCAAGTGTATTACCGCTACTTGACCAGTACATCCTGTGGGCACCCTACTGGTCGCATTTGACAGGAGTAAATGCACCAAAACAGCAAGGAAACTTTTTAGAGAGCAAAGCGACAGTAACGGACTCCACAACTACTTGCAAGAGCAAGGTAAACAAGGAAAACGGCCGCAGCGTGGAAGAAACAAATTACAACAAACAGTCACATGGACGGACACAGCAGACACCAGCGATCACTAACCTTATAAGTGAAGTGATAAGCGAATGCATAATGCATGGATACCCGTGAAGGCGCATTCCAGACTGAACATTTTTCAAACGTCTTATGCAGAAGAAGTTCAGGGTCAACAAAGGCATCTTGTTGAGACAATGGATGGGCCCGTTCAGCACGCCGCGTTAACATTTGTCTCGTTCGTCTTTCCAGTGTCAATTTGGGCCAGTTGGCGTTCACCCAGGACAACAAAGAAAGGTTCCGCGAGTTCGATTGAGGGGATGGAACAGCTTGTTTGCCGGAGGCTTGAGTTTTGTTGGTGATGGTAGTATCACGCAACACGGATAACAACGGGCTGTATATTTTGTTCTGGTAAGGCGGTTGATACTCCGCTGAAGGAGAGTGGGCAGTCTGCATTGCAAATGAGCAGGCTGAAGCCGATAAAAGAGACAACAATACTTGGTAATACACAAACGGACTTTGGGAAGAATCGCTCAGTGATCAACCTGGGACAATGAATTTTCATTCCGTTCCCACGGAACTAAATACTGGACAGCTAAAATGGTCAAAATCTAGGTCTGACGATGCGACACTAAGTGAATGATGAGAGTCTCTTCTGATTCAATCGATCACTGTTTCTTAATCTCCTCAGTGGCAGAAACTTTTGCTGAATTGGTCACGAGCAGAGGCGATAAAAAAAGAGAAATGCCTTAGGCCTTTAACAATCTGCATCCTTGATTAGAAAAACATGAAACACATAACCGTTAAGGATAGTAGAAAAATCAGGTTAAAAACTCGGGAGACCTCTGTAAACCCTGGTACGCTGCATTTAAGGTTCACTATTCTTACTGCAGTCAGAGTGAACTACATGAATATACATATGCCGGCATACAGCCGGTACACAGCTTATGTACGAAAACAGGCTTCGGAGGTGGCCACGTGCACATTATCGAAAGTGGAAAAGGTTTTTTAGGTATTGGTTACAAGTAGCTGGTACCGGAAACTGAAAGCTGGCTGTGTGACTCACAAAAATGATCCGTAACAGAGAGACGGAGAGTCATGGTCCCGAATTGTGCCAAATTTCGTAAGTAAAGATAGTGTGGTACGCGTGAGCTTTGAAGCGCATCGAAGCGATAACGTTTCCTCTGGAAACGATGGAGAGAAAAGTTGAGCGAATGCTGAGATACTGACAGGTTATTCAACGCATCGGAATGAGAATTAGATGACTGCAGAAGTTGTCGCATATGGGACGCAAGTGCAGTGGGAATGGCACCGCGGCTGGCATCGAGTAAGATAGGACACTGTGAAGAGGTAGAACTCTCCGGAAAAGAGTCATTCTCCAAAACAGACGTTGGGGTGACCGAGCACTCTTCGATTATCAAATCAACACTATTTACTCCATTTGGAGGTCTGAAACTGAAACCAGAGGTAGGAACTGAAATTAGGGGACAGGAGATGTGGGAACATGAGATATGATGACAGCAAGCTATAACCCATTGTATGGCTAGCGAACGGAACTAGCACACCATTGAACTAAGGAATCGAAAGGTTGCTACAACCGCGAAAACTGGACAGCAATGAAGTGAAACTTGACACGTTTCTTAAGCAACTATTATGACAGTATACTTGCCCTGTTGTAGTGGCTGATTCAATTGTGAATAACCCACTGAAATGGAGTCCAGAGGGCACAAACAGGAGTCATTAATTTCATCATGGGAGACGTTGAGTAGAGACAGTTGAGTAGAAACAACATTTAACAATGTTGCCTGTCCGATAGGATGACGCGTCCCATGTATCCCATGTTCAGAACAGGATAAATCGCTATTTCGATTCTGAGCTATAAGCAGAGAGCTCTCTGTTTTATTCGCGCCTCCGATTCCCTAATCCTCTTCAGATAGAGTGACAAGCAGGTTACGACTGGTTCTAGTTACCTTACACAGGAGACATCGATACAATCGCAGTCATCTTGGGAAATATTATAAACGCAATGAAAAATGACTTGCGTTTACACGTACTGAACAAGGTGTCCCCATCGAACAGTGCACACCTTCAGAATCGAGCTAAACTGCACTTTTCATCATGACATACTCTCTGAGCCGTAATTTTGTGGTATTTTGCTGAACAGGTGGAACAGACACGAAATAGCATGAGGGAGAATGTATGGACATTTAGTGGAAATAAAACAGGATATTGTCATCCTGTCTGATTTCCACACAACTTCCCCGTCAGTGGGTACACAGCAACGCCAGAGTTGTCTGAAGCAGCCGAGTCTAATCTGAAGCTTATATTTCTCAGAACTATATATGTTACCCATTTTGGTAGTATGAACTGTATGCACCTTGAGTCAATAGCATGTAACGCTGATTGGGACAACATTCCTATTATTACTATTACCATTATTATTCATTGTGACATGTAGGCTGTGAGGAGTGGACAGGACACCCTACTGGTCACGAACCTGTTGCAGTTTGCGAAGAGAGCAAATGGTGGGTGTACTTGAAATTCGAGCTGCTTTATCAAACATTCTCAGCAATGGATATTCGTCCAACTTATGGGGATCAGAGTAAGTAGACGGGATAAAACTACACCTTTTCCGAACAAGGCGGTTTGATGGCAGTGCGACAGATGAGGTAAATGCACGAATCTGCGAGGCTCGAGTCACGTTCGCTAATCTGAGACACCTATGGCGTCAAAGCGGTATATCCATGAATCTCAGGGGACGACAGTACAAGCTGTTTTGTTGCGTATCTGTGGGTCTTTGACAATCGTGGGAGTTGGTGTCCGCGAATCCGGAAAGAGGTAACTGGAAAGCGAGTTTTCGGTTGTGTAGCGAGGAATTCTGAAGAATGTTTCCAGCATCGGAAGCTGTGTTGTTTAGGTCACATAGTGCATATGCCGAACCACCGTTTGCCGAAGAGAGTGCTGTTTTCCGTGCCCAATTCAGAATGGCTAAAGCAGAGGTGACCAACAATTGAGCTGGCAGAGGGGTATGAAGACTACGATACGTTCGGGCGTTTTTGGCGCTACTCGCCTTGCAGGATGGGAACCGCGTGATTTCCAGTGCGCCTGGTTAGAAACACTGCAAGATATCGCTGTCAACCGGTGTCAGTGGCGTTCTTGTTGTCAGTTTCTATTCAGATTGCCTGAATGAATGTCTGGAGGTGTATGTACCCCGAAATGATTTCGGTAAACTAGTACTAAGTCCCTTCCCCCTCGACTTTTATTCTTTTCTTCACAATGACTCAAATAAATCATGGTTGTACGGCAGCGAAGCATCGGTGTTGAACACTGATGTCGTGCTGTCGATGATAAGGATGATGACAATGATGAGAACACTGATTTTTAACCTGTGGCACATGTGCCACTGGGAGAATGATGTAGGGCAATGCCTGTGGCTAACGACGCAAGGGAAATCCTCAATCTTCATCATTCTATTCTTGTGAGAACAAAGGTTGATCTTAAAAGCCACTGATTCGGACGAACCTGTCAGGCCAACGCATTGTGCACGTTCTAATACCGTGCCTGAAGTCACCGGGTGGAAGACGAAGCACTTTCAGCTGCTGGATCAAAGTAAGTATAGTTTGTTCTCGCGCGACAAAATGTGAAGCTGAGATGATTACTGAAACCTACTCGTGGAGTGTTCAAGTTGGCAGGACTAACACTGAACAACTGATCTAGGGTCCACAGACTTTTGCTAGGTTTATAAATACGATAGATAAATGGACAAATGTTGGTCTCACCGAAACAGTTTCCCTCTTGCAGGTAACAATTCCAAGGTTATAGAAGTTCGCTCATTCGCTTCTGCTCCGGATCGCTCAAAACGCTTTTCTTTGTGTAAGTTGTTGCTTGGACCACTCGTGTTCGGTTGAGGAACATTGGGGCGACTGGTAGTATCCCTACGGTACCTATTGGTGGAGAACTTTTTGCGACTAGCCTGTGATCGGGGACGAAAACTGGGAATCAATCTCGAATGTAGCAGGTCCCTGGTGTGATCGATTGGAGGGCCTGTGCGGAAGGATGCTGTATCGACATGTGGAACTTCTGTGGGAGCTACCATGGAGTGCGGCACTGAAGAACGGAGTGTCAACGGCTCTGCGTTGGTGATAACTTCGTTACTGACCTGAGGAAACAGCTGTAAGTAGCAATCGGTCTAGAAATGGAGAAGAGGAAACCAATTCAACCATGCAGCAAACCTTCGAGGGGGATATGGAGGTTCGGAATGCAAGTACCGAAAGAACTCCAAGATAACCTTATCGAATCGCTTATGTTGGGAGATAGAGAAGATTGACGAGAAACAAGCACACTGATACTGAAAGCCAAATTAAACAACAGCGGCCGGATTTGAGTGGATGCACTTACTCAGCGAAAACCAAGGAAATGTCTGTGTGAAGGAAATAATTACTGAGCCGTCTGACGTCATTCGTTTCACAAAATTCTCCATAACGCGCGGGTCATAAGCTTGAATTCGCTTTCTAAAACGCTTTCCAACATTCGCTAACCACTCATTTCATTAAAAAGGGTGTGTGGTGAGTGTTCTATCTTTCATTTTGACTGAGACCCATCCCCTAGCCCAGATTCACAAGAAACAAGAAAATGCCGATGAAAAGCTGAGACAATTGGAAGCCTCAGTAACACAACAACTGACTATAATTTGGGTGTGATCTGATCGCCGCAAACATGCGAAAGTGGTCTGACATGAATCGAGAGGCCGCCTTGGACTGACTACTCAAATAAAGGATTTCTTACAATGGATAACTATGGCTAGCCACTTAGTGGGTAGGAGCCGCCTAACTGGAGATGTAGATTTTCGCAGCATTCAACGATGTCCAAAATCCGTGAAGCTTTCGCCATGCTGACACAATCGAGCTTTGAGCGTTAGTGTTGACTTTCGATAAAGTTATCGTAGGTCTTATGAAGAAAGTGTAGGATCGGTACAAAGGAGTCTCGTTGGAGAAAATCAACCCAAAAATTAGTCGTGACCGCCGGCGCATAATTCAGCACGGTTGGAATATTTTCAAGAACTGATGGTCAATACCAGCTTGAGCAATATTGTTAGAGATTAGCCTCCCATTCCACAACTCTTGGGTCTCTGGGCTAGACAAGCCTCCAGACGTATGAGAAACTAGTTCCAACTAGGGTCCCCCGGTTAATTCCTGACGGCTGTTGCCACAATAATCAAGACTTTGGGTAGGAATGTTGGGGAAGGTCGAGTCCACTGAGCCAATATTACCGTGGGAAGAATGACCGACAAATGTCAGAAGTTACCGCGATTGGACAACCCTATTCTCTTCCTTCGATTTTTGCTTCCAGCACTTCTTGATTTTTCCTGAGACAGAAGACTCGCCCGCCCCACTACTCTCATTCTCCGAATCCTCAAACATACCAGTTGACAAGCCACCTTGGTGAGCACATTCTCAACTTTGAAACCCGATGCATCTTGTCTCTGAAGACAAAATATATGATTCCAGCAGCGTAACCATTTTGAATGCACCTGCAAAAAAGGTTCAAACCAGCATTACCATATTATTCTGATTTCATTTGTCGAAGAAAGAGTGAAAGCTGGAGTTGGGATTACAACCAATTGCAGAGCTGAAAAAGCTTGACTGACTGGGTCCGTACGAACTGCCGGTTGTGCTATTTTAGGTTAGAATTAAGTATCCAAACACCGACACAGTAAACGCACGTCGTTCACCGTTCTGAGCTCAAATAAAATATACCTGGCAATCCGACACACTACCTACGTCATACGACAAAATCCGATATAGCACTTCCGGCTTGCGACGTGAGCACCCAACTTGGTTGACTTCTCCCAGTTGAAAAGTAACTGAGTGGAGTGTTGATTGCCTGCGCAGGATGTAGGGACAGCGGTAACAGACCGCTACACCCATGCACTTCTCTCTCCGCGATACCTTCACCAATATATATCCGAAACGAGCTTTGACAAATCTAGATCACATCAATCAACCACACGCTAAAAAACGTATCTTCACAAGGAAGGCCAATCTATTGTACCAAAATTAGCAACGGCAAAAGATGAATTCAATTCAATTTTCAATTTATCAGCTACACTAGTTCCAGCTACGGTGGAGTGTGGGGCATACAGTTAAGTCTTGAAGGTGATGGCACGTTAAGTTAGTTTGGTATGTGAGTAGGTAGGCAATGAGGGCGATAACTTTGACGTACTATCGTTCGCATACTCAGTGACTGACTGGGAGCATTTCGACTCCCGAGGTTCCGGAGGCAGGCAGAAAAATTTCAAGCAGCACAGTTTAAGAGGAAGGGTGAGAGAGGACAGTTTAGTGCTGCACCAATGGACCTAGTGAACTCAACCGAAGGCTTAACTTGTACCCGTACGCACCCACAGGAGTTCGCACTCAGTGCCCATTAAGAGATATAAATTTGGAAGAGAGACCATCGGTGTTCGGACATTGCCGAAGTTTCTGACGATCGGCAGGGTCATAAGCGGCTTCCACATGTTTATGACGGTCGGATCATAACGAACAGTTTGACCATCTTAATATTTCACGAATTTCGTTTTCTCTCTGTTGTAGCCAACTGAGTCACAGCGCTCTATCTTCTATTGGTTCATCCGCCCATCTTCATCAGGTATCCTTTTTCTTCTTCCTTATGGTTTTCTCATTCAAGTAATTGATCTATCAAATCGCGATAGAATAAGTCCCACCAGTCTCCTAAATCACCCAGCTATCCCACAAGCACAACACTGGCGACGAGTCTCCCACGATGCCAATTTTAGCTGACCAACGTCAAGTGATTTGGAACACCAGAAAAAGCAGTTTAAGCAAACGCAGCTGAAGCAACAAAGGCAACTTGAGCACACGCAGCTGAAACTTGTAGAAGTGCTGACCAAAATTCTGAATGTTCAGACTCCAGGAGACAACGTTTGTCAACCATCAATTTCACCGACAGACTGTGTTGCTAATTCCACCACCGAATTTACTTTTGACGAGGATGCAGATCGAACTTTCGATTCTTGGTTCAAAAGGCACCAAGATATATTTGAGGTTGACTTCGCCAAGCAAGATGACACACGGAAGGTACGACTGTTACTCAAGGAAATTGGTATACGTGAACATAATCGTCACACGAACTACGTACTTCCTAAGCAGCCCAGCTTCGACAACACTTTCTAGACCCTCACGCATATCTTTGGGGACGACACGTCCTTTTTAAACCTCCGATACCAATCGCTTAAACTGGTCATGAAAGATGATAATTTTGTCGGGTCTACGACATTTGTCAATCAGGAATTCGAGCGTTTCAAGCTCACCAGTGTGGAAGAAAACCAATTCAGATGCCTCATATTTACACCTAGCATCTAATCCCCTCGTCATTCAGACATTCTGACAAGATTGTTCCACCAAACTGAACTTCTCGGATCCAATGACTAAACAGCCCGAGGACGCAGGGGGTAATGCATTACTGTCTCACTCCTAATGCGGCTGCGCACTGCAGAAGCGATTGCGTAGCACCATACTCTTCGTTTTTCAAGTAATTTGACCGTACTGAATAATGCGTCGGCGGTCATGGTCAACCGCTGGGCGATCGCTACCTCTATAATTATGAATAGGCTGGTTCGCTGTGAGAAAGCCTTACAGCCTTTACACTTCTATCGCAGAGCGTAGTGCGAATTTACTTCCTGAGCGCGCTGTAATACGATTATCGGCCGTAGAACTCTCTCGTCTCCATCGGGCTGCTCCCCGTTGGCCCCCTTGGCATAGTTGAACCATGAAGAACGAAATTCCAGCCAGTATAGCCCGCAGGATCATTGTAGCGCAGAAGGCCGATCACCACGACAAGGTGACGGCTTTGAGTCGGGATGAATAGCGCTCAGTCGTACACAGAAAGGCAGCCGATAAGTCCGCAAGAACCTTCACGGTAACTGGGAAGGAGTAATGGAGGACTTCCTGTCTGGAGACCGTCATGCTCTATTTTCTGATGTTTGCGACTCCTCTTGTCGAGAAGTGTATGTTGTCGAGACCAGTCAAAACAGCCCATGTATTAATCCAAATTTTTCTACAAGAGATTGGTAAAACATTTAGAACAATGGTTAAGCAAGTCAGAACTACTAGACGGGCCACAATGATTGCAATGAAGCCGAAGTAACTCAAACGAAACAAGGTGTCCTGCCCATACTTCTGCCGGCCTGCTTTGTTCAAAGTCTGGGGTGAGATTCTTATCGTGTTCCCGTCACGTCCCCTACAGTGCATACGGGAAAAAAGTAGTATATGACGGGTGCTTATTGACTGTCATCTCAGTTTTCGAGGGAGGTTGGATACCGTCTTACGCTGATCAGAGGTAAAGGCTTTATCTGCAACCGAATCGGTGGCAAATATCATTGTCTGCTTTAATCAGAGCGACTAGCAAAAGAAAAGAACAGGCAGCTCCTCTCCGTGGTTGTGGCTGTACGGACTACATTTCCACACCGTAGGAAACGCAAGAAATCCGGCGTTCACAAGCCGCCGATTTTTTCGATAGTTCTGGAGCTGAAAGCCGTCAGTCGCCTCGGACGCCATGTTTCGCCCATGAGTGCATTCACCACCGAGCTATCTAGAGCTCTTGATTTCTTTCTACCTCTTTGAAATCATGACTAAGGGAAAATGAGAAGGCTATGCAAAGACCCCAAATACAGAAGAGTAGACATCGCCCGAGCGCAATGCTAACCTACAATGTATACTCGGATGACATCATTCCTCCCAGTCATTTAACATCGCTTTAATATCGAATGTCGAATTCTTTGCAAAGGAGAGCGGATGTTCACGGGATGCGCATTGCATCTTCAAAGTGCAGAGTCCTACCATGAGACTGGATCGGGAATACTCCGACCCTCTATATAGCAGATAATCTGCCCATGACTGCTAATAAACGTATTGCCTTTGTGTTTTCATGCTATGGAGTATGGAGTGCTATGAAGTATACTATAGAACAAACAAACAGCACTCTGCGTTTGCTGCGATTCGTAATTTTGGCACAGAAAGGTGTCAGATTGTCCACCAACGAGAGGACTTACAGAGATCGTGTACGATTAGGCCTTCTGTACGGTTTGGAAGCCTGGAAAAGATGCATAAGGGCTGCCGGTTTCCGCCCACCACTGTCTCCGACAACTGCCTCCTCCCCCACAAATCTAGTTAATAGGATTAAAAATATCCTGGCACGTAAATGTATATTTGGCAGTGGGCCAAATATACTGCTGAGGATGCACATTCTTCGTTGGTTATTTACTTTTCTTAGGATGTGGAGAGGACATATATCACCTTCAGCGCAGTTTGCGAAACCCCAAACTGAAAACGGAGTGGTGTTTTCCAGGTGACGTCAGGGTAGAGTTAGGTAAGCCCCAACCGAACTATTTGGCAAAATTTACAATCACTCAGTGGATTGAGACCAGGTGACAACCCACTCTATGGTGGGTTGTGATACAGCTGGTAGGCCTGTAACAGCAAACCAGCCGGCTCACCATAGAGTCCTACCTTGAAGCCTCACCACACGTGATGAATTTCGTAGCAGCTCACATCTGTTTTTATATTTTGCTTTCCTGTTTCTATTCCTCCGGCCATGGTGACTGTTTGCTGCATTGTTTAATAGGATATAGCTTGCTTTCCAACTCACACAAAGTCGGAAAATTGCAAACCCTAAGCTGCAGGCATCGAATGCTTGTCAGTCAACAATCACAAAAAAAACAAGCGAAAATGGGCCTCGCGAAACACAGGAGCGTAAATTAAGCACCTTGTCACCGCCTCATAGACTCGTGCGTAGGCACCGGAAAACCATAGAGCGTGCCCAATATCAACCACCAGCCTATTTCGCAAACTGTCCTGAGAATGTGGAGCTTTTAACGTAAGTTTTTCAACGCCTGAAGCTTCAGAAGACGTAACCTCCGAATAAACCGTACAAAAGGGCTTTTCCGTAATTCAAGGACGAATTACGAAGACGCTGTGAAGTTACCATAAAGGCCAAGATCAGCATATACTAATATGCCATGTGCCCGGATTTCATTCACGGTTGTGAACCAGGATCCTTAAAAGGTTAGGACCGTCGGAAAGTTTTCAGTCACCGGTGTCTGCGAAAGATACTTGTTGTTTTCTGATACAGGAAGCGATAACGCGGTGGGAAGATAATTCTGCGATGAGGAAAAGCTGAGTATAGCAACTCAAAATTGTCGAGTTGTGGTTTGGGAATGTCTGTCTGTCTATAGTACTCACAAATCAACTACTTCAGGCTTCTCCAAGCTCTAGCTGGCGATATCGACTTGAATCCACTACAAGACGACCGGACGCAACAGAAGCCGGTATCATTTAGCTAGGTCAAGACATACGTCAATGGTATAATGATTGAATTAACACATGCTTCGACTTCGCTCCAAAAAACGATGATATGGCTGCCGGCTCATCCGAAAACAGAAATCAGTCGCCGTAAGGTATGAAAACACGTAAGCAAAATGAACTACGGCACTATATGAGTCTTCCAGACAAGTCAGTCGAACTTGGATATTTGAAACGCCCTAAATTCCAGACGTTGACATGGACATTCAAACTGAAAACTGGGGACTGAAACAGTTCTCTCCCCGAAAGGGTGGCATTTGATTGGAAAACATAACTAAACTAATCAAACTGATGAGCGTGATTGTTCGGCATCCAACCTCACATCCAGAATGAGAAGTTGGGGAATAACACCAGAAAATAAAGCGGCCAACTTACTCGGCCTGAGTTCACAGACGTATAGGCGCCAAAAAACCAAGAGCCAGAGGCTGGGGAATATATGTTGCAGTCGAGTGAAGCTGCTGCGCCAGACTTTGAAACACTAAGCTCAACATCATTCTTTTTGAACCCTCCCCATTTAGAAGTCGGTGAAGCACCATCCTTGAAGGAGACACTCAAAATTAAAGTGTCCGGAAGAAGAACAACACCACGAGGAACTTCAACGTCAAAGGGTTGGACCAGTGGTAAGGAACCAGGCCGCAGGAAACTAAGTGATAGATTTGTGGCAATAAATGACATACAGATTGAGAGAAGGTCCAGTGCAGTTCGAGTCCAGCGTGATGGATACTGAAATTCTGCTATTGAGGCAGGCTTCTGGCAGGTTGAAATAACCATAGCGTATATCACCATTAGTTTTAAACGGTTTTAAGTAGATGGGAGGCAGACGCTCCGTTTGTGTTGCTGAGAGCGGAAGCATAAATTAGCCTGTGAAGACTAACCTGTGAGAATCATGGTAGCAAGTCCCTGTGAAGGTAAAAGTGCGAACAGGGAAAAATGTAGCGAGGTCACAAGTTTGCACAGATGAACCCAAAAATATAAATCCATATTGAAGTACGCCTTCAGTAAGGCTCCTAAAGAGGAACAAAATGGTATACGTTAGTCTCTGAAAAACAAAGCAAAAAATCACAAAATATACAAGATATACGCTTCAAAAAACTGAGCTGGCATGGACACTCCAGGACCCCAGTGTTCATTGCACAAGTCGGTTAAGCCCTGATTTCAAAATACCTGTCGGTGGCTTTTGAAGTACCAAAGGATATAAGGCGAACGTGGTTTTAAACCGACTCCCCTGTTATTCTGGTGAATCACGACTCCCGCAACTCGCTGGTCCGTCTTGCGGGTTGGTCCTTAGTTGATCAAGGACACCGAATGAATTATCTGAGGCGAACCCCTTCTACCGTTGAGGTATTCGGAAGGTATTCGAATATATCGATCAGGCGAATTGATGGCTACTCCGATATTGTCAAGCAAAGCTTGTTCCTCACCAACGTACACATTCTAACCTGCTCCCGCCAAACTTGGCAACCTACTTTAATTACACCCTGCTCGAAGAAATTGGTGCATTTTAATGAGCAGCGCAACGGATGACGGACAACAAACGGACATCGTTCATTTTAATATCCAAAAATCAGGACACATTTACCTTCCTTCCTCCTTCGCTTTTTTTCACCGCTTTCAGCCGATACAATTTCCAGCCACTGGCCCCACGCCCATAATCATATCCACTGAAGCTCGTCATCGATTACGGTACAACCAATAAGCAGAAACATCAACTCACGACCAGCTAAGCTAGTTGACACACTCCAATCAACAGCGATCTCATAGGCAACCGGCTCCTCAACAAAGTTAGGAGCCTCAAATCGGACACCAGAACTCGGCGAGCTCGATAGACTTCGGAATAAGAGCCGGGTTTCGCATCAGAAAACTCAAAAAGCTTCCTTTAAGGCATGGTGGAAGAAGACCAGTCAATAAGACCATACGTGACGGCCACCTCGTAAACCGTCTGGAAAAACGAAACCGATCCCACATACCTGCACCTAAAAATTCCCTATCCACTCCAAAGCGCTCAAGAGTGATACTCTAAACTCATTCTTCTGAGCTCACCAAGCCATAGAAATACACAGCAATATCAAACCGAACTTACGAAGACCGAAAGAGGTCACTCCCCAAAGTCGAGTAACACAATCAACGTATACCAGGACAAAAACTGATTACGATTCTGCCACACCGTCTGCGTCTTCAAATGTGAAAGTGATCCTGGAAGAACCATGTGACTATAGCATTAAGTGTGTGAGTATAATGGAAATAGCACATCCAGTCGCAGTATCCTCAGGCTGCATGACCAAAACCGCTGGAAAAACACTCACGCATAAATAAATCAGCAATTCTTCGACTTCGGAACCAGTCAGCCTCCAAACTTTCAGTACCCATCCACCATGAGTTCCAGTGTTCGGTATCCCGGGAGTTGACGGAGGTTTTGGATCGTTTTGAGCT